GGGTTTTCTTAAAAAAAAAAAAAAAAAAAAAATTATTATTTTCTCAAGAAGATGCATTCTGGATTTTTTTTTTTTTTTTAAAAAGATGTCATCATATTACTAATACTTTAATAGCATACCATTATAATTTATATATTGAATAAAATATTTCCTTAACTGCCAATAATTTAATATATTGCTAATTAGAATATCATAGCAATTCCAAAAAAAAAAAAAAAAATGGTGTTATAAAGCAAATAACAGGGTTTGATGATCTTTTCATTTGTAAGTGAAACGAAACGAAAATTTTACAATTTCTAAAGAACAAAGTCTATTGTGTTAACTAAACTGAAAATTATACTGATGCAGCTAATATATAAAACACTTTATTAGCTCAGGTAAACACTTGTATCAAGAGAACATATTGTTCTATAAAGGCAATAAAAAATAAACGACTTAGTTTTCCCTTCCTAATTTAGTTATTGAATTAGCTCTCAATGTTTTAGTTATTGAATTCCCCATCACTTAAAAATGAATGAAAAGAATTGAATTTTGAGATAAAAATTGAATAAATTGGTCGTATTAAGGGGATTGAGAAATTAGAGTTTGTTTTGAAAAGATAGGAAACTGATGTGATGACACATCTTTTTAATACAATTATATAACATGGCTTGACAGTGATTTATCTATCTCAAAGTAATAACAATTTCTATTCTTTTGAAAGTTATATCACACTTGTTTTGAACGTCAAAGATTTGAGATAAGCAATAATCTAGAAATAGACTTTTTATTAATTATTTTCCAAAAAAATTATTCCTTTTAAAATACTGTTATTTAGTTTCTAGCTTGTCTTATCTTATAATTCAAATTGAATGTGGAAAATTTTTATGTTAGTTGTATTGACTTGCTGCCTTAGACGACTATCTACTTTTTCTACAATGTTGTGATTGTAATTATTTTTATTTCTAAAAAAAATCTCTTTAGGGCTTAACAACAATATTTAAGTTCCAACACTACATAATTTATAAAAGTATGTAAGGATTTTTCAAAGGATCTCAGCTGTATTGGTTAAAGTTATATTTTATTTCTTCAATTTAAAGTCTAAATTAGTATATCACTTTTATTAAATATAATTGAACTTTTTTATTTATTGCATCGGAAGTTAATACATTTTCAATGCATGTTTTATCTTTGTTTCATTTTTTAAGGAACTAATTTGATGACACATTTTTTTAATACAACTATATAATACAGTTTGACTTGACCTCCTTTAGTGATTTATCTATCTATCTCAAAGTAACCAAAATTCATTTTCTTTTGAAATTTATATTACAATTTCTACACTTATTGATAAAAATACGGAAGAAAAGATGGATTGCTAGCACATTAATTCATAAAATTAATTAACAGGGCTTGACTTCCTCTGCTGATATATCCAAATTGCTCTACAATTTGCAATTGCACTCCTGTTTTTGTTAGGAGACTTTGAATAAGCTTAAGCAAATACTCCACTAATCTTTGCTTGTAATTTTTTGTTCAATAAGGTTTTTACAATAATATTATTTAGTAGGATTATCATACAACATGCTCTTAGTTTATATATCAAGGGCATTAAAAGACAAAGAATTTTGTATATCGATGTATGTATCTTTATTAGAGCACACATTAAAACAATCCTATTTAGTAATTAAGAGGGTCTATTATACGTAGTTTCATGATATAAGAAAAGCATTTACAAGTATTATACCAAAGAGAATTATTGTTAATAATGAAGCTGGATTAAGTTTAATGTGAAATTAAGTAAATAAATATCTAGTGAAATATATGTTCATCAGCAGAATTTGCATAAGCTCATAAATTGCCCTTTTTGTCTTTTTTCCTTTCCTTTTTTTAACTCTCAGTTCCTAGGCACAGTGACTCCGGGATCCGAAAACTTGCCCGACATTTCAACTTGAATTTCAATTATCAAATTCTCCATCAATTGAAAACGAAAGAAAATAATTGAATTTTGGTATTAAAAAATAGAATTAATAAAAGGGATTAAGGGGGTTGAGAAACTAGGATTTGTTTTGTGGTGTCTACATTCATTTTGTGTATTTCTTATAGGAACTTTTTTTAATACAACCATATAACACGATTTAATCTCTCTCAGTGATTTATCAATTTTAAAGTAACCAAAATTTTTGTTCTCTTGGAAGTCATATTACAATTTTCACACTTATTGATAAGATATACACGAAAAAAAAGATGGGGAATTATTAGTTTATTAATTTCATATTATCAATTTAACACGACTTGATCTCTTTTAGTGATCTGTCCAGGTTGTAATACAATTTGTAATTACACATTTGTTTTTATCAAGAAATTTTAAATAAGCTTTAACGAATATTTCATTATATGTGATTGTTTGTTCAATAATGTTCTTGAAATAATTTTATTTAATAAGAGGTTTTAATAAAACATAGTTTAAGAATGAGATTGTTAATAATAATGATAATGTCAAACGCAATAGGAGATTTGAGGAAGAAGTCGGTAATGGTTTAATGGATGATTTGTTTGCTACTAACAGGAGTAGAGAGACTTTGGGCTTCTACTGTGTAAGTTGAAAATGGCTGGTTTGTTTTGGCCTTGGTTTTGCATTGTAAATTGTTCTTTCTTTTTGTTCCAACCCTGTTTTTTGGTTAAGCCTGTTGTAAAGGATTGTACATCCTTAACTTTTACTTTGTTTGCTTCCTTGGGCCTGTCCAAGTAAGAGAGCTGTGGGGTTTTTTCCTCATTTCCTCTGTATTTTTTCGTATTTCTTTTATACAATTACTAGGTTTCCCAAAAAAAAAAAAAAAAAAAAAAAATTTATTATTTTCTCAAAAAGATGCATTTTGGATTTTCTTTTTTCTTTTTTAAAAAAAAGTTGTCATCATATTGCTATTACCTTAATAGCATACCATTATAATTTATATATTGAATGTAGTATTTCCTTAACTTCCAATAATTTAATATATTGCTAATTAGAATATCACATCAATTCGAGAAAAAAAAATGGTGATAACTTTCGAAAATATTATAAGTGTTTTTTGTTAAGAAGATTAGCACATGAAGTATTTTCATATAAATTATTGGAAATGTAGTAGTAATTTTCTAGAATAATAAAAATGTAATTGTTTGATAGTGTGAATTATTTATTAAGTGTATGTGTTAATACTCAGTGTTTAATATTTATGAAAATTAGTTATGAACTAGTTAGATAAATACGACAGAAAAGATGAAGAACTAGTGAAAATCAAATTCTTAAAATCAATTATAAGGCTTGACCTACTATTTAGATCTATCTAACTAAGAGTACAATTTGCAATTGCACAATTGTTTATTTCTTCATTATATATATATTCATTTATTTCTTCTTCCCTTTTCTTGGCTCTAGTGCTTTGTTATTGAATTCTCCATCACTTAAAAATGAATGAAAAAAATTGAATAAATTAGTCATATTCAGAGAATTGAGAAATTAGAGTTTATCTTGAAAAGATAGGAAACTGATGTGATGACGCATCTTTTTAATATAATCATATAACACGGCTTGACATTTCTTAATAATTTATCTATCTCAAGGTAACAACAATTTCTATTCTTTTGAAAGTTATATTACAATTTCTACACTTGTTTTAAACGTCAAAGATTTGAGATAAACAACAACCTAGAAATAGACCTTTCATTAATTATTTTCCAAAAACTATTCCTTTTAAAATACTGTTATTTAGTTTCTAACTTGTCTTATCTTATACTTCAAATTGAATGTGGAAAATTTGTATATTAGTTGTATTGACTTGCTGACTTGGACGACTATCAACCATTTCTACCATGCTGTGAACGAAATTATTTTTATTTCTGAAAAAAAAAAAATCTCTTTAGGGCTTAACAGTAATATTTAAGTTCCAACACTAAATAATTTATAAAAATATGTAGGGATTTCATAAGATTTCAACTTTATTGGTTAAAAAATATATTTTATTTCTTCAATTTAGAGTCTAAATTAGTATATTATTTTCACGAAATATAATTTAACTTTTTAATTTATTACATCAAAAGTTAGTACATTTTCAATGCACGTGTTTATCTTTGTTATGTTCAATGCATGTGTTTATCTTTATTTCATTTTCAAATAACTAATTTAATGGCACATCTTTTTGACATTGTTTAGTGATCTCCCTATCTCAAAGTAACAAAACTTTCTTTTCTTTTGAAATTTATATTACAATTTCTACACTTGTCGATAAAAATACGGAAGAAAAGATAGATTGCTACCACATCAATCTCATAAAATTTATTAACACGGCTTGATTTTCTCTAGTGATATATCCAAATTGCTCTATAATTTGCAATTGCATACTTGTTTTTGTTAGGAAATTTTTAATAAGCTTCAATTAATACTTCATTAATCTTTGTACGTAATTTTTTGTTTAATAATGTTTTTTTGCAATAATATTATTTAGTAGGATTATTTTAACGTTTACCCTTACTGCATTCGTCAAGGGCATTAAAAGATAAAAAATTTAGTATATCAATGCATTGATTTTTTTAGTACATAACATGTATTGAAATATGACTTCTTCAAACTTATAAATTTCTTCGTTTCTTTCTTCTGCAAAATAAAAAAAGACTGAAATAAGAGAAATATAAATGGGTTATTGTCCTTGCCAAGGAATAAACCACAAAAAAAAATTAATTTTATTTTATCTAATTCAATAAATTGTTATAATACTTTTTGTTACAATAACAATTTCTATTTCTATTTTAATATACAAATTAAACACTATCAATATATATAACCATCAATAATCACTGTAGTGGTAATTAATTTAAATAAATATCTTTAATAAATTAATTTAAATCTCTATTCTATTTTAAGGATTAATTACATAATCACCTTGGGGGAAGACGGTGAAACCAAGGTTTGTGGCCTCACTGGCTTCTACTACGCTTCAGAGTTGGGGGCACCGGGGCAGCCAAAGGGGGGGTGTGGTGTTAATTTTTCGAACCTAAGGGGTGTTATCTAATTAATCCTTTTTGATAGGCTCATTGCATTGGCGGTTGCTCTCTTATCGATTATTCTTTTTTATTTCTCTAATTGCAGAGCTCTGCATATCCAGAAAAGCGCAGGAAATGGCATGGAGAATGGAGATACTGTTCATTCGCGCCAAATGTGTTACAAATCACATTGTAAAACCCTTAAATCTCCATTCATTCAATTTCTTTATGTGCCTGATTCGTGAGAAAGAGCCAGACAGAATACTTGGTATGTAAAACCCATTTTTCCTTCAATTAAATCATTAATAAATTTGTTTTGTTGACTGATTTTTGTTGCCGTTAATCTTGATTCGAAACTCTGATATTCTTAATTTTGAATCCCTAATTTCACTTAATCCGACCCCATTTTCGTAACCCACTCAGTTAAATCATCTCTACTGAAAACCCAGTTTCAAAATTTTTGGTGCATATTTGAAAATGTTGGGCGCCATCTCAATTTGATGAGTACAGAGACAAAGTTAGAAGCAAATAGTGGGCGATGTAGAAGGGTATATCGGGAATTTAACTAAATTGTAATGATTTGGAAAGTTTTGGGTGTAACTAAATGTGAACCCTTGCTGAATTTCTTGTGTGGGATTAATGAATTTGCGTCACAATCACACCAGATGTGAATGGCTTATTACTTGCTTGTTGGGGTTGGATTATTAGTCGAGTCAAAAAAGAAAAAGAAAAGAAGGCAAGACATCTTCTAGGCAAGGAAATAAATTGAAATACTTAGAGATTGATGGAAAGACTCATTTATATGTTGTCTTGGTTTAGCTCTTTATGTTTTTGTTAATGTCAAGTAATTCTCATCACTGGAAGTTAATGGCTGCTTCTTCTTCTTCCTCTTCTCCTCAAGAGAAGTATGATGTTTTTCTTAGTTTCAGAGGTGAGGATACCCGCAATAATTTTACTAGCCATCTGTATGCCGCTTTGTGTCAACAAATGATCAATACATTCATTGATGACGAGCTTAAAACAGGGGATCAAATTTCTCCATCTCTTTGGAATGCAATTGAAGGGTCAAAGATTTCCTTGATCATTTTCTCAAAAGAGTATTCTTCTTCAGGATGGTGCCTTGAAGAACTTGTAAAGATCCTTGAATGCAAGAACAGTTATGGTCAGATTGTAATCCCTGTTTTCTATGGTGTATATCCATCAGATGTAAGGAATCAGATTGGGACTTTTGGGGACGCTTTTTCTAAGCTTGAAAAACGTTTCAAGGGTTCGCAAGAAACATTGCAGAGATGGAGGACTGCTTTAGGAGAAGCTGCCAATCTATCTGGCTTTGATTCAAATGTCATCAGGTGACTGTTAATACTTTTATTTTCTGCTGATTTTTCGTTTTTCATTTAACTTATTTGACTTATTTAATTCTTCGTTTCAATTTAGCATTAATCGTTGGTTGAACTATTTAATATTTTTTAATTGTGTATCACTCAACTGTCGTCCACATGTGATATTAAATAGAAACATTGGTAGACGTGACATATGGAAAGTTATCATTTTATATTAAAACTAAGCCATATGTACTCTTTGATTATTACTTTACACTGTGAAAATCATGTTGTCTGACAAATCAATGTTTTTTTGGTCTCTTTGGGAAAGGAAAAAAACAATAAGAACCAATAATATGAAGTTAAAACAAGTGATAAGTTCCTTGGCATTAAGGGTTTGGAGAGAAATGTAAAAGAAATAGTGGATACATGAAGGATATCGAGTTTTAGTGACAATTTTTTAAACTTTTTTGTCTTGGAGGGCTGATCTTGAGTTAATGTTTAAATATGATGTCATTTGATAGCAAACTACTAGTTCAGTTTTTTATTAGGTAGCTTAACTTTTATTGATTTTTTTATTAGGCTATATAATGTTTTTTGCATTGAGATATATGACATATGTCTAATTAATTATTATTGTTAAGGATGTGCAAAGGTTCAAACTCTATTTGATATCCAATTTTTTTTTTCCATTGGTCACATATCCAAGGATGGAAAATGTACCTTGTTTTCGTTTTGATTTATCTAATTGGAGTATTTTCCTTTTTTTTTTTTTGGTAGGTCTGAGTCTATACTTTTACAGAAAGTTGTCGAAAATATTTTGGCGATATTGAATGAGGATTCTCCTTTAATTGAAAACAAGAACCTAGTTGGGGTAGATTCTAGAATCGAGTATATTGAATGGCAACTATTCATTGGGTTTCCTGGTTTTCGCAAGATAGGAATTTGGGGTATTGGTGGAATAGGTAAGACCACTCTTGCTGGTGCTGCGTTCAATAAAATCTCTAGACATTTTGAAAGCTCTTACTTTGTTAAAAATATTCGAGAAGAATCAGAGAAAAGTAAGGGACTAACTAAGTTGCACAAAAAACTTATTCGTGCAATTTTAAAGGATAAACATGCCAATATAGGATCCCCTTTCACCAAAAAAAGGCTTGCTTCCAAGAAAGTTCTCATTGTGTTTGATGATGTGACAGATCTAAAGCAAATTGAATCTTTGATTGGACATTTTGAGTATTTGGGTTCAGGAAGTCGATTCATGATAACGACAAGAGATAAACGAGTATTAGAAAAATGTGAAGTGGATTACATATATGAAACTGAAATATTATTTGATGATGTAGCTTTGGAATTGTTTAGTCGATACGCCTTTAGACAAAACCTTCCCCCAAAAGATTTTGTGCAGCTATCTAAGAGGGCGTTATCATATGCTAAAGGTGTTCCACTTGCTCTTGAAGTTTTAGGTTCCTCTCTATATAAGAGGACAAAGAAAGAATGGGAAAGCTATATAAAAAGATTAAGGAGAATTCCTGATATGAATGTCCAAAAGGTATTAAAAGTAAGTTATGATGGGCTAAATGATGAAGAGCAGGAGGTATTTTTGGATATTGCTTGTTTCTTTAAAGGGTATAATAGAGATCTTATAGAAGCAATCTTGGATGGCTGTGGCATAGCCTCACATTTTGATATTAATGTTCTGATTGAAAGGTCTCTCATAACCGCATCATTCAACACCATAACAATGCATGATTTAGTTCAAGAAATGGGTAGAGATATTGTTCGTCAGGAATCACCTAATGATCCTAGCAAACGTAGTCGGCTTTGGGATCATGAGGATATCTTTTTAGTATTGACAAATAATGCGGTGAGAGCCAAAGACCTTAATTTTTTATTTCTATGTTTTATTTGAGATATTATGAAATATTAGTTTGTAGAATATTCAATTCCAGTTTGTAGCATATATTACATTTTTAAAAGAAAGTTAATTACTTGATAGTTAATGTAATTAAGCTATGTAATACTAACTCATCATCAATCTGCTATTGATTATTAGGGGACCGGAGCTATTCTAGGCATGCGCTTGGATATGTCTGAAGTAAGACAGCTACATTTAAATCCTAAAGCTTTCAAGAAGATGCATAACCTAAGATTCTTGGAAGTGCATTGCTGCTGGAATGATAACAAGGTACATGGTTTCGAAGTCCTTAAATCTGATTTCTCTGAGCTACGGTACTTTCGCTGGGATGGATATTCTGCCAAATCATTGCCACCAAATTTTAATCCAAAAAACCTTGTTGCACTCCACATGCCTTTTAGCAAAGTTAAACAACTTTGGAATGGGGACCAGGTATATGTTAACTTTTATTTTTCATTTTGTGCTTTAAATTGTAAATATTTGTATGTTATTTATGTTCTTTTAATTTTATTTTTTGTTTCAGAAACAAAATCTTGTTAATTTGAAACATATTGACCTCAGTTACTCCAAGCATCTTTGCAGAATACCAGATCTCTCTCTTATCCCAAATCTTGAGAGCTTGATTCTGGATGGTTGTACAAATTTGCATCAGAGTTTCTCATCTATCCATAATCTCAATAAACTTGTTCTCTTGAATCTACGAGAATGCAAGATCTTGATCAGGCTATCAATCAACACTCATTGGAAATCTCTTCGGAAACTTATTCTCTCTAATTGCTCAAATCTGAAAACAATTTCATATATCCCTTGTACAGTGGAAGAGTTGCATGTAGATGGAACTGCAATAAAAGAATTGCCGCCATTAAAAGATCTTTCCAGATTAGAAATATTGAATCTTAAGGATTGTTCAAGGCTAGCGAGTTTGCCGGAGAGTACTTGTGAGTTGAAATCTCTTCGACAAGTTATTCTCTCCAATTGTTCAAATCTCAAAACAGTTCCATATATCCCTTGTGCAGTAGAAGAGTTATATTTAGATGGAACTGCAATAAAAGAATTGTCGTCATTAGAGCATCTTTCTAGACTAGTAACATTGAGTCTTAAAAAATGTTCAAGGCTTGAGAGTCTTCCTGAAAGTATGTGTGAGTTGAAATCTCTTGAAACAGTTCTTCTTTCCAATTGTTCAAATCTCAAAACGGTTCCATATATCCCTCCGACAGTAGAATGGTTGTATTTAGATGGAACTGCAATAAGAGAATTGCCATCATTAAAGCATCTCTATAGACTAAAAACGTTGAATCTTGAAAGTTGTTCAAGGTTAGAGAGTCTCCCAAGTAGTATTTGTGAGTTGAAATCTCTTCAAAGAGTTGTTCTTTCCAATTGTTCAAGTCTCAAAACAGTTCCATATATCCCTGTTACAGTAGCATGGTTGTATTTAGGTGAAACTGCAATAAGAGAATTGCCATCATTAAAGCAACTTTATAGACTAAAAACATTGGATCTTAAAAGTTGTTCAAGGTTAGAGAGTCTCCCAAACAACATTTGTGAGTTGAAATCTCTTGAAATAGTTATTCTTTTCAATTGTTCAAATCTCAAAACGGTTCCATACTTTCCTAGTACTGTAGAAGAGTTATATTTAGATGGAACTGCAATAAAAGAATTGTCGTCATTAGAGCATCTGTTTAGACTAGTAATATTAAGTCTTAAAAACTGTTCAAGGCTTGATAGTCTCCCGGAGAACATTTGTGAGTTGAAATCTCTTGAATATCTCTATCTTTCGGATTGTTCAAAACTTGACAGATTGCCTAACAGCTTGGGAAATTTAAAAGCATTGAAGATACTTGAAGTCAAGGGAATTGCTATAAGAGAAGTACCATCATCTATAACATGTTTGAAATTCCTTGACAAGTTATCTTTGGCCAGATGTAGGAATCTGGAGGTGCTCAGTTTCCTAGAGTATCCTTTCCCAAGCTGGTGGTTGTGGAGACTAGATCTGACTGATTGTGGTATCGAAGTGTTACCCAAGGATCTTGGCCGAATACACTCACTTGTGAGATTATATCTGGGCCGAAACAATTTTGAGAGCCTACCAGTGAGCATCAAAGACCTCTCTAACTTGTTATGGCTTGATTTACGCAATTGCGAGAAGCTTAAATCCTTACCGGAGCTTCCACAGCAGCTAAAGACAATAGAGGCACAGGGTTGCACCTCACTTGAAGCATTATCAGGTTTACCAAGTCTGTGCCCAAGTACGTTCTACACGATTAGCTTCATCAATTGTTTCAAACTGAAATTAGATGAGCTCCCAGATTTGAAATTACACCCATTGCTTCGTCAACTGTTTTTCCCTGAAGAAGAAGTAAGTCTATCTCTCTGTGTCTCGTTTCATATGAAACTAAGCATATATATAATCTATTTTTAATTATATATATGCTCTTATTTTTTAATATTACTATTATAAACTAATAATAGATTTTAATATTAATTAAACTAATAAATAAATAAATAAATAATATTATTCAAATCAGATTTAATGTTATTCAATAATTTAGTTATTTACATTAAATGAACTAAAGTAAATATTATATTTTTGTGACTACTTTTAATAATGATAAATTATTTAAAAATATTTTATTCATCTATCTATCACATCTCTTTTTAGCAACAAAAATAAGAACATGCGTATGATAAAAAGCACTGACCGCAGTAAGAGTACACAGCTTTTTTTCCCACCCAAGGTTTGCCTTAATAATTTCTCACTCAAAAAGTTTCAAGTATCAATTTATTACCCCAAGTTTATATTCTGACCAATCATCGGCCAATTCCAATATCATTGCAACCCTCACCACTATCATTCTTTTCCTCGATCATCACTTACCAAAACTCTCAAACCTTGTTTTCGTTGATCTTGTCAATCTTCGACAATCGAAGGATTTATAGAACACACAACCGCCCCTCCCAAGTTAGATTATGACCAACCCCAACCATTAAAATCTAGTCTGTCACCACCAGAAGACTAAACAACATCTTTTCTACAAAAGCTTTAACATCCTAGACTAAATTTGCTCTCTGTTTATCATCGAATTGAAAAGTAAATTCTCGATAATAAACGGAATATGAACTTTAGGTAGTAATTTTTGTGTGGACAATAGTTAATACAATTGGATTTATCACCCATGATCTCTTACAAATAAATATAATGGTATTTAAGCTTGGTTCTCACAAAACTTACTTAAAAACGTCTCTTTATATATTTTAAATTACAAGGACCTAATTAGCATTAAAGCAAACCTTAAAGGGAAGCTATAAAAATTAAGAAGATCAAAAGTTGATTATTTTCTTGGTACAGGTAACGAGAGACTACTTGCAGCGATCGATATTCTCGTCGAGTGCTTGTATATGTTACCCTGGAAGCAAAATTCCAGAGTGGTTTAGCCTTAAAAGTACTGGATTTGAGATAAAGCTTCCAGCAGGTTGGCTCAGTAATAACTTAATTGGTTTTGCTTTCTGTGCTGTTGCATCTTTTCGGGACTATCCAGAGCTTGGAACTTTCACATTAAGATTTCGTTTGCTTGTTAACGAGGAGATCGTTTCCTTTGGCCATTTGTTTGAATATAATGGGCATGAGGTTGTTGAATCCGATCATGTATTCGTTGGATATGATTTTGCTATCATGTTCGATGAATTGCCTACACTCAGTTTGAATAGTGAGGGCTACATTATGTTCTTTGTTGAGCATGGAAGTGAGAATAGCATTGATTTCAGCAAGGTGAAAAACTGTGGAGTCAGATTGTTGTACACCAAAGATAATTATATGGGAACAGATGCAAAAGTGGACAGAGACCAGAGATTGAAACCCATAGTTGGTGCCTACATTTAGAAAAATACAAGCGACCAATAAACAGGCACGGTAAGTTGGATTAAATTAACCAAAAACTTAATAAAAGAAAGTTATTACATATTTATTTTCTCGGGCCTTGTTTTGTATGGTTTCTATGGAGTCAACGCATATGCGGCCATGCGGGTAACTAGTAAGTAGCTTTCTCATAGTTATGCCCTCAAAAACTTTGGCCACTTTGTTCTTTCTTCTATTAGGTAAGTGGACTCAAACATTGAATTCAAATTATTTAGTAAATCATTACTTGTTAAATCTTGTAACAACTCTTTCCAGCGTTGGATGCTTCTCATACTCTATTAAACTTTGTTATCTGCATATATGTATTACTTTTAGCCATGCATTTTCAGTTTAAACATGCATTTTAACCTTGTTATCTGGCTATATGATTTATGGGTGAAGAATTATACGTCCTATATGATTTCATTGGTATTTTGTATAGTTGTGGTGGCGTCCTGCATAATAGTTTAATGGTTTCAAGGTAAAGCTTACTTTTTGTTGCCTTCTTAAGCTAGCTTTCTGCAATTTATATTGGTCATCATATTTGGTTTGTCTTGTTTTGCATTACTATATATTTAGGTGAATCCATGCCATGCCCCTTAGGTTCTGCAGTTCGAAGTGCTATTATTACTTAATACAAACATTCACCTGGTGAAGGCATAGTCTTCTTTTTTCTTTCAAATAAAAAACTCATTGCCTCAAAGTGTGAGGGACATTTGATAATTTCTCCTCTAACGGGGATAAAAGGCCCGATTGAGGCAGCAGCCCATCCCATGCATATTGTGTGTACATCAGGTCGCACAATTCTTTTTATGAATTATTCATTCAATTCCTGAATTGCAGGATTGCCTCTTTCTGATGTTAGTCAGTTTGCAGCCCTCCCAGATGACTGAAAGGAAAGCAAAAAGCTGCAAAAACACGCCAAAGTACTATTCATCATATAAGGATATATATTCTTTATGGGAAAGGATTAACAGGATCATTACTCGGTTGTGGGAGGAAGCTAACAAAGTAATGAAAGAAGTTCAAGCTGACCAACAATGAAAGACAATACTACTGTTCAGAATTGCAAAATTTACAGTGATTGTTTCAGTCTTGTTTGGTCTCTGGTGCACACACTAACAATAACCTATTGTGATGGCCGTCATTCTGAAATTCTCTGGATTTTCTTCCCTGGAATTCAGATTATGTTGCTGAACTATTTAATTAGATATGTTAGATGAAGGCTACTGCTATATGATCTTTTATTGCCAGATGCTTTCTGTGTTGTGATTCAACATGGTTACTATCTAATATTGATGATGTTTGGTTTTCTAGGCAGTGAAATGATGTTGATTGCTCTTTCTACTCTTGTAAGCTGCTACTATTTGGTTAATTGTTTTCTATGTCAAACTCTGGTTGGTTTTTCTGGGCTTTTCCTGATGTTTTTGCCTTCTGAGGCTGGCTTTGTTTCTTGTATTTGCTTAATTAGTTTGCTTTCTTTCTATGGCTATGCTGTGGCTATATAATACCATGTAAAAGTACATGTCACAAGTTTTACGTTTTTGTTTCACAAGGTTCATGTTGACGCGTTGTTGCAGTGATTTATTGTAAAAAAAACTCAGCTTTTGATTATCACAAATATTTTTGGATGATATCTTATTGATGGGCTTTTTTTTTTCTCTATACAATATCACGGTTGAATCTCATGAAATGGTAATTTTATTTGCTCCTAAGTTGGATTTATGATCTTATGAACCCATATTTTCCAGCAAGGTGAGTTTATGAAATAGGGTAAAAGTCATCCTGCTCAAATATTGTCTTAGTTGCCAATTTCATTGCCTCACCCTAAACCCTAACCCTTATGATTTAGAGTTTTTTTTTATAAATTGTAGGCATCTTCTGGGAAAAGAGATGAAGACAATAGAATAGAAAAAGGTAAGGCATCTTCCTTGTTTCTTCTCTGAAATTATTGTTGCTTTATGTTTGCCTAATTGGCTGAAACTTTTGAAATATTACACTCCTAAAAAGTGGTTCATGTATAAATGCAATGAAGGTGGTTTTTGAAATAGTTTGCTAGGACTTTTGGTAATTGCTTTGTAATCTGGTATATTTGTATTTTGATTTTTGCTAATGTTAGCATATACTATTCTGTTGTTTTCTCTTGCTTTCTTGAATTATAACTATTTTCAAATTGATCCTCTTCTCCATGATTGACTCAGAAATTACTTAAATAGTCTATATCTGCACAAAGCCAAGAATTGGCACATAACTTAATGTACTATGCACTACCTTTGACTTCACTGTATTCAATGCATTCATTCTCACATAGGTTGTGGCTAATTTTGTATATGGTTTCTTTAATATATTAAATGATATTCCCTTCAACATGAAATGAGTCTTTTTTATTTTTTATTTTTTGGTTACAGAATTCTGCAGATACAAAGACGTCTTGCACAAAAGTGTGAGGCTGCTTTAAAAGCCGGTTGCAGAAAAAGGTATGATGAGGCTTGCTTTGAAACAGATTCCCTAACATGCAACAAGTGGTTTGGGATTTTAAATTTAATTCTTGTTTGTTTTGCAGGCCTATGTTCAGTAGCTAGAATCTAGTAGATTAAAGTTAGAACAGTTGGAGCAGGAGCTTGAGCCAGCTAGACAACAGGTATAGAGAAGATTTACTGTTTCTGTTTCTTGTTAAGTTGATTGGTATTATGACACTAGAAACCCTTTCCCTCCTATTTCCTATTCACATTCAAAAATTTGAAATAACGAATGCTACACTGCAGGGTTTGTATATAGGTGGTGGAGTAGAAGGTTCTGAGATGGGGTTCTCTGGACCTGTAAACTCAGGTTTGTCAAAATATTGCTGAATTACTTCTGGTTTTGATGTCCTCACTCACAGACGTTGATATTTCTTGAAATTGCATTTCTCTAATTGCGGTGTTTTGGTATCTGACTTTGGGGACCTAGAGTGTACACTTGATAATTAGACTGTTTGTGGAATTTTGGTACTGCTAGCTTACCATCACCACTCAGTGTATGCTCCTATTATCTATTGTTTTAATCATGTTCCTTCTAAGCATGATTCCCCCAATATGTTCATAGTTTTATTTCCTAAATCTTCATTTTAATTTTCCGCCATTGTTTCAAGTGCTTGTAAAGAGTACGTAAGAAAGACTTCATACCTTCTTCATCCACACTGAAGTCATTTCAATGCTGTCTATAAATCAAATGTCTCGAAAATGTTCCTGGCAATATATTCCAGCTGTCCATAAGCACAAGGTTCCAACACTTTGCAAACTTGACACTACCATGAAAACTGATGTTGTGTTATGAAGCTATGCATATAATCTCTGATGCGCTGGATGTGTTCTTTGTGATTTGATTTCCAGTAGCTCCTGTTGCTTATAGAACACTACTTTTTGTCATTTCATGTTCTCGCATTCAACAAAAAGTCCTCACCGAGGTTTGTGCTGGAATTGCTGCAATTGATATGGGAGTATGGACACTGGGTTGAAGAGCAAAATTGGCAAATTTGTGAACTGAGGTTTGCTTTGCAGGCCCGTATTAGTGATATAGAGAGGTTTGCTTTGCAGGCCCGTATTAGTGATATAGAGCTTCACATTCTAGTGGAGGGTGGCATGAGCCACTATCTTGAACTTTTCCGCATGAAGTCTACTGCTGCAAAGGCTGACGCTTTCTATGTAATGTCTGGCATGTGGAAGACAGCAGCTGAATGTTTTTTCTTTTGAATTGGAGGATTTCACCCTTCTGAGCTTCTTAAGGTGATTCATATTACAATTTGTTTAATAAGTGAAATAATTTGCTCCATTGAAGGTAGTTATTGATAATAAATGTGAGTAACTATAGTTTTGGACACATTCGGTAATATATATGTGTAAATATTGCTTTTTCACATATTTCTTAATTGAATTAATTTCTTAATCGAATTGTTATCTAAGGTCTTTCACCACAGGTAAAATAACGCTGATTCATAAACTCACATTGATAACAGGTTCTTGTTCATCATCTTGGCATGTTGACCGATCCATAATATATGAAAGTTAGTAACCTAAGGCAGTCATGTCAGCTAGTAGAAGATTCTCTATCTCAAGGCATAGAAAAATTGCAATCAACTCTTGCTGAAACTGTAGCTGCTGGGCAACTGGTAGAAGGAGGTTACATCCCACAGATACCTACTGCAATGGAGAAGTTGGAAGCTATAGTCAGCTTTGTGAACTAGGTAAGAATCCGCATCATTGCCCAATCAAGTATGGCTTTATTCTGGATTCTTTCGAAGTATAGCTGATGTTTCTATTGCATGCTATCTGTACTTTCAATATCTTTCAGTAATCCATTTTCTGACCCATCAATTAGTTCTTTATCAGCACATCTGATTTAAATTAAGAATCTTTCTAGTGAGTCAAATTTGCATTTATCTGTGAAATTGAAGTTTTCTTCTACTTCTTGCTGTTTATTAAAGCATTCTGCAGCTAGTATGGAAAATAACTAGCTGATGATTGAGTTATTATTCTGGCTGAAATTCTGTGAGCCTGTGATGCGAGACAAACCACCTCTTTTCTCTTCCCTTTAAACTATCTTCTTGGCATGAAATTCACTATTTTGGTGATTTAATGCATTCATGATGTGTAGGCAATATCATTTTCGTGATGTACTAAAAAATGTAGTTAAATTTTTGTCTAGTGCTTCCCTTTTATTGCAAACTGAAGTGTGGACCGTGTGGTTACAGACTCTAATAAGGATATTCTCCGCTGTTGAGAGTTTCTCCGAATAAGGTTTCATGATTGACGACCAGAGCACCAATTGGTGTTTCGTTAACAAAATGATATGATTGGTAGAAAGCAATATAAGGATCTTAGCATAGCATGGTTCTTTAATTTTCGGGTCCATACCATCTGAACTATGTTAGTTTTTAATTAGGACATCTTGACATGTTACCAACTTTTCAAGTTCTTGTCCAAGTAGGCTGACCATCTTCGCCAGGAAACGCTACAGCAGATGTCTCGCATCCTAACAACTCGCCAAGCAGCTCGAGGCTTACTTACTTTGGGAGAGTACTTCCAATGACTTAGAGCTCTGAGTTCTATTTGGGCCACTCATCCTCACAAGCCTGCCTAATCTTATACCTGAAAAAGTCTACAAGCGCAAAAATCTCTGGAAGATCATTGTTGTCCAAACTTTGTTTCCCCCATCAGAGGTACTGTATACATTGTTGTTATGAACATAATCTGCATCCTTTAAGCTGTTGACATTTTTGAAGCAGCCTCACGCACGCGTCCTGAGAAATTGTAAATATAAATAACCTTTTTATCAAAGAGGAAGTTAAGTTTGTAATTAAATCAATTTTTGAGGCATGATGTACATTTTATCATCTTTTAAATAGGTTTTATGTTTTAGGGTACTGTTGCAACTTCGTCATGCAAATCTTTACAAGACGATAGTCTTTGTATTTCGTATGTTTGTTGTGTAAACTGTGTATTTCATAACGTTTTCGTGTTCTTCGAGTATGAAAAGATATTTGTTCTGGAAGTAGTAGTGTACTTAAATAAGATTTAGTCATTGTGGTTGATGGGAGAATGAATGAATGCTCATTTTATCAATGTTTTAAACCCGGCCCAACCCGGCCAGTTTAAATGACGCTTGGAAGCTTCATCGGATTGAGTTTACATTTTTCTTATTTACCCAAAACCCTAGAATTTTGGATAATGATCAGCGAATAATTGAAGGCCGGGATGTTGAGGATTTTGAATAGAAAGTGTTGGTGAGTGCAATGGCGGCGATGAAGTTGATTTCTGGTGAGTAAATCGGCCAAAAACCAAAAAGAACTAGCGGCGACAACAACAGGCTTTTGCCGGCTATTGGCGAGGCTAACGGGGGTGGGGTGAGGTGGGTTTTGGTCAGGAGGAAGAGTGGAGTATTTTCGAGGTGATGAGGAGGGTTGTCAATGTCGACGTCGGTGAGATCTGGCCTAGAATGTCAACATCGTCGAACTCATATCAGCTAAATTTTGGGTAGATTTTCAGAGGAATGGGCTAAAGGGACGATTGAGATTGCATTTGGGGTGTTGTTACCGCCAACCAGTCGTCGATCGATTTGTATTTGGGGTGTATTTGCTAAATTTCAAACCTATGAAGACTTACCGTAATTTTTAGGGGTGTATTTACTGAATTTTAGAAGTTTTTGCCAACTGGTCAACCTGGACCCGGCAACTTTGCCAGGTTTCACCTTGTGTTGAGTTTTAAAACATTGCATTTTATAACTGTCAATTCGTTCTATTCATTCCAATATTATGAATTGCAAATGGGTGAAGAGAGATAAAATTCGTTGGACTTCAATGGTTCATAGTTAATAATCATTAACCAATGAGAAAACGTTCTTTTTCAAAAAAGGGATTGCTATATACACGCCTGAAATTAAAGAATGGAACATAGCCTCCACCAACTTCGAAAACTATAGAATATACCCCAACTTGATTGTTTGAGCTTTGAGCTGTT